ACAAATTCTATTTAAAAATAGAAAATTAAAAAAATAAGCTCAGAAACAATTGTTAGTTCTTTTTAGTATTGTCTCTTAGTATCTGGCAAATTTTACTTTGGAAAAATAAAATATAAGGATAGGAACATCACAGGTATAGTTTTATTCAAGGTATTTCAAAGCATATTTTTTTATGAGAAAATGGTACATTATTGAAAGTGACTTATTAACCAAGCAAGATTCATGCTGGCTGTTTGTCTAGTGGTGTCTCAGTATGGGACCCGGAGAAAGAGCCCCTTACCTCCCTGAAATACTAAAATGTTAGGATTCTTTTATTTCTAGATGCCTCATTTTGTCATGATTAGACTATCCATTGGCTTAGCAGAAACATTCAGTGGTTTGTGTTGATTTCTTTTACATGTAAATCACTGTAATTTTATTGTCCTTTGAAACTTTGATACTTTGTTGAAAGCTTTTGAAATGACTTTTTCTTTATATTGAGAAAATTTACTCTATTTTTACTGGATTACTTAGCTTTGTTATTTATAAAAATTGTTTCCATCCTATTTATTTCAGAATTTCCTAAGGTTAAGGGGCTATTGTATTGGTGTTACTTTTGATAATTTACACTTCAGGTAGAGAAACGTGGCTATTTGACATTTGGTATTTAACAAAATTAGTTTTATACGATTTTAATGACCTATAATGCACACTGTAATGTATTCATAATTTAAAATATTTTATGTATGTATAGACACATCTATTATATATCTTAATTGTTGATAAAGTTATTAACATACTTTATGGTTTTAGGGAAGAAATGGTAAAATCAAGCAAGGAATCAAAACACAAAATGTCTTATTCGGGGAGAGTGAAAACTCTCTGCCTCCAGAAGAACACTGCTCTCTGGATAGGAACCGGAGGAGGCCACATTTTACTTCTTGACCTTTCGACTCGTCGAATTATACGAATAATTCACAACTTTTGTGATTCTATTAGAGTCATGATAACAGCACAGTTAGGCAAGTTTCTTTTCTTTCTTTTTTAATTCTGTAAGACTACAAACATATGCCTTCATTTTGAATTTGTTTTCTCTTCACTTTCCGATGTCATTTAAAACCTCTTAGAAGTTCAATATAATACAACACAGGATTGGGATACATTTTGAACAGGGTCATAAAAATATTGAGGGAGCAGATGCTTCCAA